CACGTTTACTGGGTTCTGGCCCGATATCCTCCACAGATTTATGGCTTTGGCCCGTAGACCCCAAGAAAATTCTGGTTCTGGCTGATAGCTCCTCCACGAATTCTGGTTTGGGCCTGTAGATTCCTCCACAGTATTACTTTGGGTTCGGCCCGATAGATCCTCCACAGATATTACTGGCTTCTGACCTGTGATCCTCCAAGATTTATGATTCGGCCTGATAGATCCCCCACGTATTACTGGTTCTGGCCTGATAGATCCTCCACAGATATTACTGGCTTCTGGCCTGATAGATCCTCCACAGATATTACTGGCTTCTGGCCTGATAGATCCTCCACAGATATTACTGGCTTCTGGCCTGATAGATCCTCCACAGATATTACTGGCTTCTGGCCCGATAGTCCTCCAAGTTATTTTGGCTTTGGCCTGTAGATTCCCCAGTATTATGGTTTGGCCCGTTTCCCCCATAGATTATGACTTCTGGGATAGATCCCCCAGATATTACTGGCTTTTTTGGCTGTAGATCCTCCCAAAATTTCTGGCTTCTGGGCCCCCGATGATCTTCCCCAGTGTTATGACTTCTGGCCTGATGCCTCCCCAATATTTGGCTTTGGCCTGATGATCCTCCCAGATATTACTGACTTTGGCCTGATAGATCCTCCACAGAAAAACTGGCTTCTGGCCTGATAGTCCTCACGTTATTTGGCTTTGGGGTGATGATCCTCCAAGAGTTATGGCTTCGGCCTGATAGTCCTCCACAGATATTTTCTGCTTCCCGGCCCGATGATCCTCCCAAATATTATGATTTGGCCTGATAGATCCCCCACGTATTTCTGACTTGGCTGTAGATTCCAAAATATTTTGGCTTTTGGCCCGATAGTCCTCACTTGACCTTGTAAAAATGAAAAATTTTTTTTTTTTCGGTTCTTTTGGTCTGGTCCCCGAATCTTGAAGAATCTGGGCAGGGCAATATATTAAAAAACCATTACCCTCCCGTGGGCGGTATGTGGCTTTAGGGCAAATTTGGTCAATTTTGTCCAGGGTGCGACCCCCACTAGTGACTAACACTCAGGTACCCATTTTACGATGGGTGAAATAGGCAAAAGGCGTAAAGAAAAACCCCCCAATGTTTTACCCTCGTGGGAATCGAATGGCCTCGCCGTGTGAAAAAGGGGGAGCTTTAGTCCCAGGCCCCGGGGGCCCCCGGGGTTTTAAAATTTTGGGAAAAAACCCCTGTTATTGATGAAAAAATTACGTTGAAAAATTAAAAATGCTGCTCAGGAACGTAACTTGCTCTTTAGACTTAAACAAGTAGTTCAAAAGACAGATTTAAAATTGTCATCTTCGTCACAGGTGCGCAAAAAATTGGTGGCTGTGGGCAAGGAAGCTTGCCTGCAGTTGCGTGTCCAGCCTCGTTTTTCCAAACAAATGGAAGCACCGCCCGGCGGTAAAGGTGAACGGCCCTAATCCCACCAAAACCACCTCACGACCCCGCGGGCAAAAAATCTCGCTGCATTTAAAACCCAATAAAAATGGGACTGTCTTTCGAATGAAGTATCTGAGTACCAAGCATTGACCAAGCTTGGACACCGCGATGTCTGAACGTTTAAAAATGGACGTAAACCCCCTGCGCAGAGATAACGAAAATTTTTTTGGAGGGCGTTTTCAATGTCAGTAAACTTTCAAGTATCGTAACGCAGGCTTCCAGTACCGCGGAAAAAAAATTGTTGGCTGAGCATAAAGGGAAGGAAGACAGAAAAGACTGGATGAGATTTATAATCGTCACAGAGAGGTGAGGAATGTAAAGTAAAAGGGGCACAAGTGCAACTAATGTGACTTTTTTTGTGGGAACTTTCCTCTCCAGGGGCTTTTTAAGTACGTTTAGCTTGACAAGCTCCCGGAGGCGAAAAGTTGCCACAAAAAAAGTAAAAAATTAGTTGACTTGGTATTTTTACTCTACATATTGTCGGTAATTCTAGCAACAATATTGTCGGTAGAGGAATGTAAGAGACTTGGGGTAACCAAGCCAGAACTTAAGTTCAAGGATCACAATAACATTACTGTCACAACTACATAGAAAATAAGTCTGGATAACAAGAAACTTCAAAACAAGAGATGCCAAACCCCGAATGGTAATAAATCACTTTGAATTTCTTGGGTTATACTAGGTAATTTACACATATGTTAAGAACATAAGAAGATAAGAAAAAAAGAACACTGCAGCAGGCCTAATGGCCCATGCGGAGCAGGTCCATGCCAACCCCCGGCTTAAACAAATGGCCCACCCAGTCAGGTCACCTCCACTTAAGGAAGGAGCACGAGATCTGACCCAGTAGCACAAGCTAGTCAGGCCCAACTCACACCCACCTACACCCACTCATGTATTTATCTAACCCATTTTTAAAACTACACAACGTCTTAGCTTCTATAACAGCACTCGGGAGTTACGTATAATAATTGTACTTATGTATATCTATACCTAAATAAACTTACTAATGATACTTTTAAAGGGTCTCGTACTCTCGAATAATGTTGTAGACTAATAACCCCATTTAAGGCAGGTGAGATTACAAATTTTGAGCACGTACAGAGAACTTTCACTGCACTTATTAATGGAATCACACATTAAACTGTACGTAGTCTGTATGAGACACAGCTCAGAAAGATACATTATAATTCTCAAATTAAAATTGTTGCTTACGACTGAGGGAGATACAGTAAACACTACAATACATCCTCTTCAAAGATCTGTAAGTACGCTAAGAAATAACTAGATCAGTACACAAGGTCACTAACTACCAGCAGCTTTTCTCTCAATATAAGTGAAATTACCAAGTGATTCTTAAACTGTCTTCATGAGAGAACTTGCAAGACGTTATAGAACACACAAGCTGATATAAATACATTATAACCAGTTGCGGACATACATTTTCGTGTGCCTGAAGTCTATGTAGAGTGCGGATATATGGTTCAGAGAACCTGAAGTCTATGTAGAGTGCGGACATATGGTTCAGAGAACCTGAAGTCTATGTAGAGTGCGGATATATGGTTCAGAGAACCTGAAGTCTATGTAGAGTGCAGATATATGGTTCAGAGAACCTGAAGTCTATGTAGAGTGCAGATATATGGTTCAGAGAACCTGAAGTCTATGTAGAGTGCGGATATATGGTTCAGAGAACCTGAAGTCTATGTAGAGTGCGGATATATGGTTCAGAGAACCTGAAGTCTATTAGAGTGCAGATATATGGTTCAGAGAACCTGAAGTCTATGTAGAGTGCAGATTATGGTTCAGAGAACCTGAAGTCTATGTAGAGTGCGGATATATGGTTCAGAGAACCTGAAGTCTATGTAGAGTGCGGATATATGGTTCAGAGAACCTGAAGTCTATGTAGAGTGCAGATATATGGTTCAGAGAACCTGAAGTCTATGTAGAGTGCGGATATATGGTTCAGAGAACCTGAAGTCTATGTAGAGTGCAGATATATGGTTCAGAGAACCTGAAGTCTATGTAGAGTGCGGACATATGGTTCAGAGAACCTGAAGTCTATGTAGAGTGCGGATATATGGTTCAGAGAACCGCCAGGATAATGACTTGGACACTTGTGCAACACAAGACTGATGGACTGACCATATCGACTCCAGACTGAGGAACTTCTTATACTCCTGATCTTCAGCCATTCTTCTCTGTATTGGACTAAGGAAGCCACCAACTGGCGAAACGTTTCCACAATAAAGATACCCAAGTGTTGCACAAGTGTCTAATTCATCATGTATACAGAGTGCATGGTATACAAGACATGTCTACAGGCGAACTGATTATACCAAGAGTATATACACCGTGAGGTGTATGCCTCTCCTTGTATATACAATGAGGGATTACGTTAGTTTCCTTTTTAAGAAATTAAGATGTTCTAAACTGGTGGTGAACAGGTTACGTGCAGTTATAATGACCCTCGTGTAGTCGATAGGTTTTAAACCCCATGAACCAACCGGGAACTTACCCATAAAAATCAGGCTGTACGGATGTTAACAGTGCAATACTTAACTGTAGATTGTTATGGAGGCGTAATTATTGGTAGTCCTGGGAAGAGCCCAGCCTGTCCACGCGTCTGGTCGCCATGCTATCAAGACATATATATATATATATTATATATATATATATATATATATATATATATATATATATATATATATATATATATATATATATATATTACACTGTTAACAGTAACGGGTTACCACATGATTAAGACCAGTGTCAGGAAACACTACTCCTGTTTCCTGACGAAGACGAATACAACAACAACCGGGAACACCAACAGCCTGATTGACCAGGAGGCCTGCTGCGAGACCGGGTCGTGGGGGACCATGACCCAGCGGAACAAAGCAGGAAAAACATCACAAAAATATTTATGGTAATTATGAAGCGAGTGAATCTAAAAGTATAGTAGAGAGGTAAAGATGGAGTAAACCGGGGAGATAAAGAGCGGAGGAGGGAGGGAAAGATGAGGGAAAAATGAGAGACAGGCATGGAGGGAATGAGGCAGCCATGGAGGGAGGCAAGCAGGCATGGAGGGAATGAGGCAAGAATGAAGGGAGGGAGGGAATGAGACAGTCATAGAGGGAGAGAGTGACTCTGAGTGATATAAGCATGGAGGGAGGGAGGCAGACATAGAGTGAGACAGGCATGGAGTGAGACAGGCATGAAGGGAGTGAGACAAGCATAAAGAGAGTGAGACAGGCATGGAGTAAGACAGGCATGAAGGGAGTGAAACAGGCATGAACGGAGTGAGACAGGCATGAAGGGAGTCAGGTAGGCATTGAGGGAGTGAGGTAGACATGCGAAGTGAGGTGAGCATTGAGGGAGAGAGTGAGGCAGGCAATGAGGGAGAAAGTGAGGCAGGCATTGAGGGAGAGTGAGGCAGGCATTGAGGGAGGGAGGGAGCGAGAGTAGTGTTGGAGAGAAGGGGAGGGTCATGGTAGACATGTTGCAACAACATATATATATATACATATATATGCGTGTATATGTTCCAGCAGTCAGTGATTGCTTAACATCAGTAGGGAGAGCATCGTCTCCCTTTCTCCACTACACCGGTGTCTGGATCCTCCCAACACACTGCTGTCTTCTTGTTAAGTCACAGAACTCAGGTGCAGCAGCACACTTCACAACACACTGTAAGAGCTGGCTTCTTTGCAGAGCTTCGTCAAACTTACACCATAACATGGTAAGATGAAAATTTCAACCAATTTTGATGCTGGTGAATGGATCTTGATTCAAGGAATTGGAGCTACCCTCCGCTTCCAGGAGCTTTGTAAAGCTGCAATGGCTTGACACAGCTCCTGGAGAGCGAAACGTTGCCATAATAAAATGTCGTATTAGTTGCTCATGCGTCCTTTTACCTAACAAATTACGATTAACCCGTAGGTATTATACAGCGCCTGGGGGGGTGGGGAGGCATTCAGGCTCAATTCAAGGAACTGGATCACAGATCCAATTCCTTAGATCAAGAGCCCCTCTCCAGCATCATGAACTTCCCTTGAGGGGTTTGTATTAAGAACCCTTTTACTGGCATCATGGCTCCCTTTCCCACTGAAGAGTTTCAGTAATAATAGAGTAACATGTCACAGAGATTAATGTCTTGCCTGTCTCTATATTCCTCAGTGACTAATTAAGCATTGGTCAAGAAAATTACCATTAGGCTAACTTCGATTACATTATATTTAGTTTGATCATCGTTTGTGTACATGTCAGACTTACTAGGAGTCGGGTAATTAATATTAGTACCATAAGAACTGTAATCAGCTCAGTTTGTAATGTAATGTAATATAACAATAATGAGTCCTAATTGATTACATATTGTACTTTCTGAACTTTATTAGGACTGGTACTGTTTCCTGTACTATTACATGGATTATGATATAATTAACATAGTGATAATACCTTTATGTTTAAAAAAGGTTGACAAGGCACTTAAAAAACTGCATTGAAAGATTTTTATCCCTTGATAATGTTGCTCGACTTACATGAAGTCATTAACTTTTTCAACAGAGTTAGGAAGAACCTCATTACCTTATTTTTTTTTTTTGCTAGTTAATCTTATTAAATAACAACCAAAGATTTTATCAGCTATTTTGGAAAAAATACTCTTAATTTTCCTATTGTAAAAACTCATAATCGCTTCAACTTGACAAAAGTTCACCCGTATCTTGCTAAAATGTTATATAAATACTGAAATTTAACATCACGTATGACCTACAATGTTTTTGTGACTGAATTCATGTCCGTATAAACAACTAATTACGACTGTAACTACATTATAAAGATGTAACTATCTCATTACTACTGTAAACCTGCTGAGCTATCAAGACTCTGCTGCCCAGTCCCTGGACCCAATACGTGCCCCTGTAATGGAACTGCGTACAGGATGGGCATTTGGGTATATAATAAAGTTAATAAACCAGTTCATCTTTATCTTTCTAGGCCAGGCTGCTGGGGGAGGGGGGGGTTACCCAATTTAAACCAGTAAACAATATTTATCCCAATATTCAGGAGCGAGTGAGTGTACTTCACCCAGCACGTTGTTAACAGTAAAGAGAAAGTTATGGTAGGATGACTGGGATCTTCAGTGTGTTGGTGAGTGAATGACGGTACCCAACCACAGTCAACACTACCACGGTACCCAACCACAGTCAACACTACCACGGTACCCAACCACAGTCAACACTACCATGGTACCCAACCACAGTCAACACTACCACGGTACCCAACCAGTCAACACTACCACGGTACCCAACCACAGTCAACACTACCACGGTACCCAACCAGTCAACACTACCACGGTACCCAACCACAGTCAACACTACCACGGTACCCAACCACAGTCAACACTACCACGGTACCCAACCACAGTCAACACTACCACGGTACCCAACCACAGTCAACACTACCACGGTACCCAACCAGTCAACACTACCACGGTACCCAACCACAGTTAACACTACCACGGTTCCCAACCAGTCAACACTACCACGGTACCCAACCACAGTCAACACTACCACGGTACCCAACCACAGTCAACACTACCACGGTACCCAACCACAGTCAACACTACCACGGTACCCAACCAGTCAACACTACCACGGTACCAACCACAGTCAACACTACCACGGTACCCAACCACAGTCAACACTACCACGGTACCCAACCACAGTCAACACTACCACGGTACCCAACCACAGTCAACACTACCACGGTACCCAACCACAGTCAACACTACCACGGTACCCAACCACAGTCAACACTACCACGGTACCCAACCACAGTCAACACTACCACGGTACCCAACCAGTCAACACTACCACGGTACCCAACCACAGTCAACACTACCACGGTACCCAACCACAGTCAACACTACCACGGTACCCAACCACAGTCAACACAACCACGGTACCCAACCACAGTCAACACTACCACGGTACCCAACCACAGTCAACACTACCACGGTACCCAACCACAGTCAACACTACCACGGTACCAACCACAGTCAACACTACCACGGTACCCAACCACAGTCAACACTACCACGGTACCCAACCACAGTCAACACTACCACGGTACCCAACCACAGTCAACACTACCACGGTACCCAACCACAGTCAACACTACCACGGTACCCAACCAGTCAACACTACCACGGTACCCAACCACAGTCAACACTACCACGGTACCCAACCACAGTCAACACTACCACGGTACCCAACCACAGTCAAACACTATCACGGTACCCAACCACAGTCAACACTACCACGGTACCCAACCACAGTCAACACTACCACGGTACCCAACCACAGTCAACACTACCACGGTACCCAACCACAGTCAACACTACCACGGTACCCAACCACAGTCAACACTACCACGGTACCAACCAGTCAACACTACCACGGTACCCAACCAGTCACCACTACAACGGTACCCAACCACAGTCAACACTACCACGGTACCCAACACAGTCAACACTACCACGGTACCCAACCAGTCAACACTACCACGGTACCCAACCACAGTTAACACTACCACGGTACCCAACCAGTCAACACTACCACGGTACCCAACCACAGTCAACACTACCACGGTACCCAACCACAGTCAACACTACCACGGTACCCAACCCCAGTCAACACTACCACGGTACCCAACCAGTCAACACTACCACGGTACCCAACCACAGTCAACACTACCACGGTACCAACCACAGTCAACACTACCACGGTACCCAACCACAGTCAACACTACCACGGTACCCAACCACAGTCAACACTACCACGGTACCCAACCACAGTCAACACTACCACGGTACCCAACCACAGTCAACACTACCACGGTACCCAACCACAGTCAACACTACCACGGTACCCAACCAGTCAACACTACCACGGTACCCAACCACAGTCAACACTACCACGGTACCCAACCACAGTCAACACTACCACGGTACCCAACCACAGTCAACACAACCACGGTACCCAACCACAGTCAACATACCACGGTACCCAACCACAGTCAACACTACCACGGTACCCAACCACAGTCAACACTACCACGGTACCCAACCACAGTCAACACTACCACGGTACCCAACCACAGTCAACACTACCACGGTACCCAACCACAGTCAACACTACCACGGTACCCAACCACAGTCAACACTACCACGGTACCCAACCACAGTCAACACTACACGGTACCCAACCAGTCAACACTACACGGTACCCAACCACAGTCAACACTACCACGGTACCCAACCACAGTCAACACTACCACGGTACCCAACCACAGTCAACACTATCACGGTACCCAACCACAGTCAACACTACCACGGTACCCAACCACAGTCAACACTACCACGGTACCCAACCACAGTCAACACTACCACGGTACCCAACCACAGTCAACACTACCACGGTACCCAACCACAGTCAACACTACCACGGTACCAACCACAGTCAACACTACCACGGTACCCAACCAGTCACCACTACAACGGTACCCAACCACAGTCAACACTACCACGGTACCCAACCACAGTCAACACTACCACGGTACCCAACCACAGTCAACACTACCACGGTACCCAACCACAGTCAACACTACCACGGTACCCAACCAGTCACCACTACCACGGTACCCAACCACAGTCAACACTACCACGGTACCCAACCACAGTCAACACTACCACGGTACCCAACCACAGTCACCACTAAAACGGTACCCAACCACAGTCAATGCTACCACGGTACCCAACCACAGTCAACACTACCACGGTACCCAACCACAGCCACCACTACCACGGTACCCAACCACAGTCAAAACTACCACGGTACCCAACCACAGTCAACACTACCACGGCACCCAACCACAGTCACCACTACCACGGTACCCAACCACAGTCAACACTACCACGGTACCCAACCACAGTCAACACTACCACGGTACCCAACCACAGTCAACACTATCACGGTACCCAACCACAGTCACCACTAAAACGGTACCCAACCACAGTCAACACTACCACGGTATCCAACCACAGTGAACAGTATCACGGTACCCAACCACAGTCACCACTAAAACGGTACCCAACCACAGTCACCACTACCACGGTACCCAACCACAGTCACCACTACCACGGTACCCAACCACAGTCACCACTACCACGGTACCCAACCACAGTCAACACTACCACGGTACCCAACCACAGTCACCACTACCACGGTACCCAACCACAGTCACCACTACCACGGTACCCAACCACAGTCACCACTACCAGATGTACACCAAACGAAATATAAACTTTGTCTGATGGACAACTGTCGCACCTTACGTCGTTATGTATTCGAAAACAATAAAATTAATGAATTCCGAGACAACTCACTTAGAAATGTTCCAGAAATGGCAAAGTATTTTGTCAACAGTAGCATATTACCATTCTGTAAAAAAACACCCTGACTTGTAACTAACTCATAACCACTTAAAGCTGTTTAAATTCAGCCATACCCTGTTAAAATATAAGGTATATAGATAATTATCGCATATAAGTCTCATTAGAATTGTGATTGGATATAAACATGTAAACAGTTCATTACCACTGTAAACCAAGGTAAAGAGAAAATGGTGTAATAGTTGTGATATACAGTTGAAGAGAGTTACTGTAAACAAGTGTTACTAAGCTGCCAACATCAGTTCTGTGGAAAACAGGAATTTATGATTCAAGGTAGGAGGCGCCCAAGAGTAAGAGATAGGGAAAGGGTACCTGAATAAGAGAACCTTAAAAAATTACAGGTACAGTTGAAGGTAAGGTCTGGAAGGAGGATGTGTTTCAGTGGTTCTGAGGATAGCAACGTTACAATATTAGTGTCAGTTGAAGAAATCGTTGTTACACCAACCCCACCTTACTGGTGGAATTCTAAAATTAACTAATTAAACGAAGAGTCGGAGAAAATGACGTAAGTTATCTAGTACAAGAAAAATTTCAAGGTGTAAATACTGTATATAATTATCGCATGGGGAAATTTACTTATAAAGAAAAAAATAACACTTGTAAATTAGACCATGGAATAATAATAGTTTAAATATTTTAATAAAATGAATACGTAAGATGACTCTGGGGTACCAATGGCTGCACTTAAATAGTTATAATACAAATGTAACTTTATTTCCTGGAGACAAAAGAATAATTTAGGTATTCGTACAATGAATGACACACAACACCCACAAGCACCTATATATTACAATAAAAACAAAAGGCAATAACACAAAACACTACAATGCAAAAATAACTTTCCTTACAACACAGACATGACCCGTTATATTTTACATTTCAACCTTGTTTTTTGTAATAATTTGTAACATTGTATATTAAGACTGTTTAAATATTAATATTGTTACAGAGTATTCACGTAACGAGACAACCCAGTAATGTAACGAGGTGTGAGGGAGGATGTCACTGTGGTGCAGTCAGGTTCCAGGTCCTCGCACCTACATCTCCAACTGTTATTGACTGCAAGTATGTATCTCTCTCTCTCTCTCTCTCTTCATATATAACTTTCTCTAGATAAATAATACTATTAATTCGCATGACAAAAATTGGAAATGAATGCTGGAGGAGGTTTCCATCTGTTCTGGAACAAAAAAAAATAATTTCCAGTTTGTGGATTACTTGAATATTGTTCCAGTCAGGATATTAACGTTCATTCTTCTAATATTCTTGACGTTACAGTAATTCATACATTCTAAACTGTTTGTGTCAGCTTCACAATCTCAGTGTACGACTGGCCGCTAGAAGAAATTATAAATAGCTGCCGAACAATTCGATAAACATTGCTCCGGCTTTGACCACGTAAAAAAGTCTTACAGATTAGTGTAGTTTGCTTACCTAACATAAATGTTGGGGCCCAGTCCCTGGATGTTCCTCTGTAATCATTCTACTACCACTCACAGGATGGATATGGAGCACACGATGAAGAATTAGACACATGTACAACATCTGGGTATCTTTATCAATATTAATTCAAGGACATAATTGGAAGACAGCAGAACTATATGCAAAAGATAAGGTAATCAGTCCCTCAGCCTTGGAGTTGGTGAAGAGTTCCGTAGTCGTGAAGAGTCTGAAACACAGGCATGTAGGTAGGAAGTAGATTAGCTGGTACAATCGCCGGCCCGGGGCTTTTCCAAGAGGTGGTCCGACCTTGGCCCCTTGTCGTGGGAGTGTCTCAGACCAATGTCTGCCATGGGAGGAGGTACAAGTACCTCCTCGTCTTCTGGGATCAGCTGTCCCCAGACCTGGCCCCATTCCCCGCCCCCACGGGGCTCAGAGGAAGAAGCTAGACACCTTGGGCTCCCACAAACCCCGCCCACACTGGGCTCGAAGGGTGTGGCAGCTGCATAGCAGCAGACGATGTCAGGAGGTGCAAAGACAGCAAGCATTACAGGATCCTTTTCGAGCCACACCCCAGCTTTGGGCATTAAGCCCGAGCGCTGGGGAAGCTCAAGAATGCCTCTTGCTGTGTGTGATACTGCTGCTACTACATTTGTCCGTTGCACTTGAGCATGAAGACTGGCGCTTATATACTGGCGTCAGGCTGAGGGACTGATTACCTCACCTTTTGTATATAGTTCTGTCCTACAATTATGTCCTTGAATTTGCATTGATAAAGCCACTGGATGACGAAACGTCTACAATAAAGATACCCAGATGTTGCACATGTGTCTAATTCTTTATCTTGTCGGTATTTTATACTATACATGTACAACATGGAGTTCATAGTTAAGCTATCAAACTAAACCACGGAACGGGTGGGGCTTGTTTGTAATCGTGTTATTACGATTTAGTGAGTCGTATAACTAAGATCAGGATAGCTGATTGTATATAAATTAGAGAAATAACCATCCCACTTTTCTTTCACAGTTGCAGCATCTGCCTTAAGAAACAGAACAAGCACTTCTTGGTACCTTCAAGTTCCTTTAAGCTATTATCAGGACACGACTGCCTGACCACCTACTCCTTCAACACCCACACAGCTAAGCACACATTCTGCAGCGTCTGTGGCGTCCAGTCCTTCCACATCCCCAGCTCTCCTCCAGATTCCTACGGTCAGTGCATCAGTGTTAACCCATCTTCATATATAATTGAAATAGTGAGCATTTCAATGAGAGTAACATTGACACTAATGGCTAGTTGACTGCTGTAATGACCCTCGTGTATTTAACATACATTAACTTTGCAGTTTATGTGTAAATGCATATTACGGATACTTCAGTTTATGTGTAAATACATATGGATACTTCAGTCCATAAAATAGGGACTAAAAATATATGTATATGCACAGATGCAGGACCGGGCCGCGGGGACTAATTTCCTGAATGGTCTACAAGTAGCCTAAATTTACCGTCAGCGTGTTAGGGTCACGTGACCGTCTAGCACCTACACACCACCATCATTAATACAAATACAAACACAAATTTTATTTCTTTGCAAAGGTTATAATGTGTGATTTACATTTTATGGTGTTGTTAAGTACAAAGAAAGCCATTAACATACCGGGGCATTTCGGGCAGACTAATCCTGATTTTTATAGACTACTTAGAATAAGAGAATAAGATGTTTATTTTGACATGATATATGGTTGTACAGAGGAATATAATAGTTGGGTGTACATGCCAAAAGCCCCTTTGTAAGTAGAGCATTTCGGACAAACTTAAAAATTAACTTAAGATTAGGAAGGCAATAACAGTTCATATGGTCATTAGATAAGTTACAGTGAGTACGAGAAGTTTGAATATTCTGTTAGGTAATGCTACATGGCTTTCATATTCTAGTAGAGAATAATTACAATATTGAATTAGTTTATAAAGATTACAACAGTACAATAGAACAATTTAAAACAATTTACAATATGATGTATTACAATTTAGTACTATTTAAAACAATGAAATTTAGACAACCTAATTTGGAAGTAGTAATTGGTTGAGTAATTTGGAAGTAGTAATTGGTTGAGTAATTTGGAAGTAGTAATTGGTTGAGTAATTTGGAAGTAGTAATTGGTTGAGTAATTTGGAAGTAGTAATTGGTTGAGTAATTTGGAAGTAGTAATTGGTTGAGTAATTTGGAAGTAGTAACTGGTTGAGTAATTTGGAAGTAGTAATTGGTTGAGTAATTTGGAAGTAGTAATTGGTTGAGTAATTTGGAAGTAGTAATTGGTTGAGTAATTTGGAAGTAGTAATTGGTTGAGTAATTTGGAAGTAGTAATTGGTTGAGTAATTTGGAAGTAGTAACTGGTTGAGTAATTTGGAAGTAGTAACTGGTTGAGTAATTTGGAAGTAGTAATTGGTTGAGTAATTTGGAAGTAGTAATTGGTTGAGTAATTTGGAAGTAGTAATTGGTTGAGTAATTTGGAAGTAGTAACTGGTTGAGTAATTTGGAAGTAGTAATTGGTTGAGTAATTTGGAAGTAGTAATTGGTTGAGTAATTTGGAAGTAGTAATTGGTTGAGTAATTTGGAAGTAGTAATTGGTTGAGTAATTTGGAAGTAGTAATTGGTTGAGTAATTGGAAGTAGTAACTGGTTGAGTAATTTGGAAGTAGTAATTGGTTGAGTAATTTGGAAGTAGTAATTGGTTGAGTAATTTGGAAGTAGTAATTGGTTGAGTAATTTGGAAGTAGTAATTGGTTGAGTAATTTGGAAGTAGTAATTGGTTGAGTAATTTGGAAGTAGTAACTGGTTGAGTAATTTGGAAGTAGTAATTGGTGAGTAATTTGGAAGTAGTAATTGGTTGAGTAATTTGGAAGTAGTAATTGGTTGAGTAATTTGGAAGTAGTAATTGGTTGAGTAATTGGAAGTAGTAACTGGTTGAGTAATTTGGAAGTAGTAATTGGTTGAGTAATTTGGAAGTAGTAATTGGTTGAGTAATTTGGAAGTAGTAATTGGTTGAGTAATCCTTAGCACAATGAGTAGCTGTTGAGTACCTGGTAGGTGTTAGGTACAGTTTGTCTGGTTAAATTAGGGTGATGATGTGATGTCTTAGTACGTAGTGCCTTAAACTGATTTACAGACAGTGATCCTTTAGTTTGTTCTGGCAATGAATTCCAGATCTTCGGGCCCTTTACGTGCATATCATTTTTGCATAGGGAGAGATGGACATGTGGGAAATCGAAGAGTGATTTGTGTCTCGTATTATGGTTGTGTGTTCTGTTATAGTTATCAAGGAGTTTAAGAGGAGAGTTTATATTTGAGCATAGTGTTCTGTGTATGTAGTAGGCACAATAATAAGTGTGGATGTTTTGTATATTAAGCAAGTTAAGACTCTTGAAAAGTGGTGGAGTGTGTTGTCTAATGCAGGAGTTAGTAATCAGTCGCACTGCAACTTTTTGCTGGGTTATTAAAGGCCTAAGAAGATTTGCGGTTTACCTGGACTTTACCTGGAAAGAGTTCCGGGGGTCAACGCCCCCGCGGCCCGGTCTGTGACCAGGCCTCATGGTGGATCAGAGCCTGATCAACCATGCACAAATACCATAGGTGAGGTAAGGGTAAATGAGAGAATGGTACAAAGCTAGAAGACCTGATTGGGGTACATAGTACCGTATCTTTTAAAGGATGCCTACTATTTTGGAGACTTTTTTTGGGAAATTTGCTGTATGTGTGTCTTGCTGTATAGCCCTTGTGGCTTAGCGCTTATTTTTTATTATAATAATAATGCGTGTGTGTGTCTGAAATTTGAGACTGTAGTCAAGGTGGAAACATAGGAATTTGCCCTCTGTCTGTCTAGAAATGGGTGAACCATTTATCAATATGTTTAGCTGTACATATGAAGCTGTTTCCAGACAGCAAGAAGTAGGTATTGTCTATATTGAGCGTAAGTTTGTTAGTAGTAAACACACTTAACTAAACATACCTGGAGACTATTAGAGTGGTAAATTTTAATTATTCATTATTTTCCCTTATTACTAAAGTGACGTAAGGTTACAATTAATCTAGAAAATAATGACAAACATTTTCTCTCAGACCAAAGCAGGACTCAGACTTGCTCGCTCTTCATCTAGGTACACTGTACTGACGCCATACACCCAGACCCCAGATAACTACGGGAGTAAACAATAAAAATGTATACTCGGTAAACTACCACAACTTGGCAAACCCTTAGTTTGACAAATTTCTCCTGACCTCACCTTGTTACTGACCTCTTCTTGCTACTTATATAATAGTTCTTCCTGGTATATTCTGTTGACTTGAAAACCCGAATAAAGTTTACTATTTCTGCTCTTATTTTTCTCTTCTACATCACATACCTGGTTATTACACCATCACCATCACCATCATCACCACCATCACCACAGCCCCCAACACCACCACCACCCCACCATCACCTCAACACACATCACCACCCCAACACCACCATCACTCCCAACACCACCCCAACACCACCATCACTCCCAACACCACCCCCAATACCACCATCACTCCCAACACCATGATCACCACCCCAACACCACCACCATCACCACCCTCAACACCATCACTCCAACACCACCCCAACACCACCATCACTCCCAACACCACCCCCAACACCACCCCCAACACCACCATCACTCCCAACACCACCCCCAACACCACCACACCCAACACCACCTCCCAACCACCCACATCATCCACACCATCACCCAACACACACCCCCATAACCACCATCACTCCACCCCAACACCACATCACCACCCCAACACCACCATCATCACACCACCCCAACACCACCATCACTCCCAACACCACCCCCAACACACCACACCCCCAACACCACCATCACTCCCAACACCACCCCAATACCACCATCACTCCCACAAATCACCACCCCCAACCACCACACCCCAACACCACCATCACTCACCCAACACCACCCCAAACCACCCATCACTCCCAACACCACACACCACCCCAACACCACCATCACCACCCTCAACAATCACCCCCAACACCATCCCACACACCACCCCACCAACAACACCACACCACCAGCACACCATCACTCCCAACAACACCATCACCCGACCCCACACCCCAACAACACACACCACCCAGCACCACCATCACTCCCAACACACACCCCAACACCATCACCAACCACACACCATCACCACCCCCAACAACCACCATCACCACCCCCACACCACCATCACCCCCAACACCCCCATCACCACCCCCAACACCACTCACCACTCCCAACACCACCATCACCACCCCAACACCACCATCACTCCCAACACTCACCCCCAACACCACCATCACACCCCACACCACCACACCACCCCAACACCACCATCACCCCAACACCACCATCACCACCCAACACCACCACCATCACCACCCTCAACACCATCACCACTCCCAACACCACCATCACCACCCCAACACCACCATCCCAACACCACCCCCACACCACCATCACTCACCCCAACACCCCACACCACCCCAACACCACCATCACCTCCCAACACCATATCACCACCCCAACACCACCACCATCACCACCCCAACACCACCATCACCACTCCCAACACCACCCTCACCACTCCCAACACCACCATCACCAACCCCACACCACCATCACCACCCCCAACACCACCATCACCACTCCCAACACCACCACTCTCAACACCACCATCACCCCCAAAACACCATCACCACTCCCAACACCACCACTCTCAACACCACCATCACCCCCAAAACACCATCACCACTCCCAACACCACCACTCTCAACACCACCATCACCAACCCCACACCACCATCACCACTCCCAACACCACCATCACCACTCCCAACACCACCATCACCATTCCTACTGCCAGAGTTTAGTATGAATCAATGTGTTCCTCTCTCTCACAGGAGTGGCGCCTCACTGCTTGGATGACGGAGCTATCAAGAAGGTCACTTACAAGAAGGTTGATGGCAAGAGCTCTGTTCCGGCCGTTCACAAGGACTCAAACAGTGACAGAAACAATGGTAACACCACTGCCCAGTCATCTCCGAATACAGTGAACAAGAACCTCAAAAATACCTCGCAGAACCTCACAAGCGAAATAACTGATAAGAACTCACGGCAATCCACGCCGAAAACCTCTTCTCGCGACAAAGCAGAGGATAAGAAAAATAAGAAATGCAGCAATAAGAACTCTACAGTCGACAAGGCACTTAAACTAGTTATTCAAAAGAATTCGAGCGTAGATAAAAACGCAAGTAAGAGCCCAGCATCTTCACAGTCAGACGCCATCAAGGACACCAGAAAACAAGAACAGAACGGTACTATAAGTACAAGTGGTAAGAAGCAGGAGACCACACAAGCCTCCTCCACCGCCGTCACACACAGTGGGAAGAAGGAAGGAGACTCATCTCGTTGTTACACTGTCAACTCAAAGAGGATAAATCAAGGAGCCTCCACCTCCTCATCAGCTTCCTCCTGTTCATCATCATCCATTACCTCCTCATCATCATCCACCTCTTCTTCCTTCTCGCACAGGAACTTCATCGTCACTAAGGTGGACGACAAGAACTATGTGCAGTTCTTGCACATGAACTCCATACCAAGGCAAGACAATGAAGTCAGCTTGTTGTGACGTTCAACCACACATTAGTCGAGTTTACATTTATTACTAAACTTTGCTTGAAATATTCCATGGAATTTACCTTTAGCATTAGCTCTCCGTTTTATTTTTTTAATTTCTGGGAATTTTTGCGAGGTTTTCTGTTGTGGTAATGCAACATTAAGACAGTAGGAAACCGTCAAAAAGTTGCATGGACGGGTATGTCTGTGACAACATTATGGTAGAACTGTGAGAGTCCTCTTGATTTTGTAAGGATATAATCTACAAAGTGGCTCTTGTCATGGCAAAATCTTGACTGTTTCTTCAGATAAATGCATAATTTGTATTATAAACCACTACAGATATATGTATGTAGTATGGTGGTTGTCTCCTTAAACCGTCGCTATAGTTTTCACTTGTTTGCTTTTTTATGTGTACCTCAGGATTGGTGAATTGTGACCCGTCCCCATTTTAATTTTACTCCGTATATGCAACTTTTTGCTTCATGTAAGTCAGTCATGTTTTATTCCATTAGAATATGCTTCCTCCAATACCATGTGCTGCCACTTTAATAATCTCTCTGGGTCTTTATTAAAATCGAAACAAGTAACTTGGTATTTATGGTTCAGGTTCTTCAATTACATCTAAATTATTTACGAAGGTCTTTATATTTGCCAGAACTTGAACAAGGCAAATTATATAATTGGTTCTGTAACAAGCTGCTTAAAAAAAACAATCCTGGATGACCTCTAGGAAGTCGTTGCACTTCAGACTTCCCACAAACTTGGCTGAAATAAAAATCCCCTAGGATTACTACATCTTTTGTTCTTTGAAGACTTAACGATCTCGTCGTATAGTGCACCCTGACCAGTTTCCAAATTTGGGAGTCTGTATAACATTTCTAATTACAACTTTTCATATCCTAGAGATTCTCTCTCAAGACAAATTATGTATGTATCCTTTAAATGCAGCAATTCAAACTTTCTGGGACACATAGTGCCACTACTTAACTCCACTCTGCTTCCGGTTATTTTTATGAACGTGGAACAACGCAAACCCCTGAATGTGGCACTCGGCAAGCACATCTCGACTCAAGATTAAACAAGGTCTCAGTTGTTGCAGCGTCGGCAACATATCCTACGCATACAACCAGTCTCAACTTGTTTTTCATGTGTCTATTGCTAAGAAAGTTCTGTATTTTCTCCTTGTTCATATTTACTTTTCCACTATTTCTGGTATTATCATTACCCATTGTTTCTGACTTTTTTTTATATTATTATTATTATTATAATAAAAAAGAAGCGCTAAGCCACAAGGGCTATACAGCATTTTTTTTTATTTTTTATGTATCGCTCTGCTTGACATCAACTGCCAGTTTTACCTTGCTCCCTTGGTAACTGTTTTACCTTGCTCCCTTGGTAACTGTTTTACCTTGCTCCCTTGGTAACTGTTTTACCTTGCTCCCTTGGTAACTGTTTTACCTTGCTCCCTTGGTAACTGTTAGTGGTACAATCGATACTATTAGTCTTGATTATTTATAATGCCTTGATCTATAGTACCACAATCCCTTGTTTTTCAATAAAGAATCATAACTGTATTTTTTAAACTCGACGCACTACAACAACAGTTGGTTTAGCGTTCCCTTTTGTTAATAATAATGCAGCAACAGTCCTTCGACGTAACAAGGTAATGCTGTTATCCTAGGTAAATGAACGCTTCCTTCATATACATGCCATTTTTAACACAGAAATGGTCCCAATTATTAATAAATGGTACTGCAATGCCTTTATAGTTTTTGTGTAACCAGTAGTTAAGACAAATCACCCTGGACTACAATCTTTATCAACACCGGGTACACCACCATCTTTACCAACACCAGGTACACCACCATCTTTACCAACACCAGGTACACCACCATCTTTACCAACACCGGGTACAACACCATCTTTACCAACACCAGGTACACCACCATCTTTACCAACACCAGGTACACCACCATCTTTACCAACACCGGTACACCACCATCTTTACCAACACCAGGTACACCACCATCTTTACCAACACCGGGTACACCACCATCTTTACCAACACCAGGTACACCACCATCTTTACCAACACCAGGTACACCACCATCTTTACCAACACCGGGTACACCACCATCTTTATCAACACCGGGTACACCACCATCTTTACCAACACCGGGTACACCACCATCTTTACCAACACCAGGTACACCACCATCTTTACCAACACCGGGTACACCACCATCTTTACCAACACCAGGTACACCACCATCTTTACCAACACCAGGTACACCACCATCTTTACCAACACCGGGTACACCACCATCTTTACCAACACCGGGTACACCACCATCTTTACCAACACCGGGTACACCACCATCTTTACCAACACCAGGTACAACACCATCTTTATCAACACCGGGTACACCACCATCTTTACCAACACCGGGTACACCACCATCTTTACCAACACCGGGTACAACACCATCTTTACCAACACCGGGTACACCACCATCTTTACCAACACCGGGTACACCACCATCTTTACCAACACCGGGTACACCACCATCTTTACCAACACCAGGTACAACACCATCTTTATCAACACCGGGTACACCACCATCTTTACCAACACCGGGTACACCACCATCTTTACCAACACCGGGTACACCACCATCTTTACCAACACCGGTACAACACCATCTTTACCAACACCAGGTACACCACCATCTTTACCAACACCGGGTACACCACCATCTTTACCAACACCGGGTACACCACCATCTTTACCAACACCGGGTACACCACCATCTTTACCAACACCAGGTACACCATCTTTACCAACACCGGGTACACCACCATCTTTACCACCACCGGGTACACCACCATCTTTACCAACACCAGGTACACCACCATCTTTACCAACACCAGGTACACCACCATCTTTACCAACACCGGGTACACCACCATCTTTACCAACACCGGGTACACCACCATCTTTACCAACACCAGGTACACCACCATCTTTACCAACACCGGGTACACCACCATCTTTACCACCACCGGGTACACCACCATCTTTACCAACACCAGGTACACCACCATCTTTACCAACACCAGGTACACCACCATCTTTACCAACACCGGGTACACCACCATCTTTACCACCACCGGGTACACCACCATCTTTACCAACACCGGGTACAACACCATCTTTACCAACACCGGGTACACCACCATCTTTACCAACACCGGGTACACCACCATCTTTACCAACACCGGGTACAACACCATCTTTACCAACACCAGGTACACCACCATCTTTACCAACACCGGGTACACCACCATCTTTACCAACACCGGGTACAACACCATCTTTACCAACACCGGGTACACCACCATCTTTACCAACACCGAGTACAACACCATCCCAGCAAACTGCCACATATGACAAGGATCCTTTCCGTCTTCTTAACTATGTCTATCGCTGTCCTGCACCTGGTAAGTGGGTCGTCGCCTCCACGCTTGCCAAACATCATTTCTGCCAGTACTGAGGCAGATAATGGGGTTGTTCCCATTACCAGATATTATGTTTCATAATCTGCTAATGATATCCTTTATCATAGTCAGAGAAAAATAACCTCTGCCTCCTATTCCTGTAAAAAAAAAAAAACAGACCTGTCCATGAGTTTTATCTGAGAATCCCTTACTGCAACAACATTCTTACCTTCTTCAGTGGTTGCTGTCGTGCCCTCGATGGTTGAACATTTCTTTGGCAACAGCGAAAAAATTGTTAGTCGACAGCAACTTCTTCAGTTTTCTTCATCGTCAGCTTCAATCTCTTATTACAGACAAATTTACATTTATTACGGCTGCTATCTTCTTCCTTGTACCGGAAATGATTCGTCTTGTTCTCTCTCGAAGTTGTATCTTCCTAGCTTCCACCATTTCAGCCTTCACTTGAAAGTACTGCTGCTCGAAACTCAGGGAAGACATCCTCAGCACTTGAACTGCACAAGCACAGAGAATCCACTAAGCACGTCCTCACAGGACACAAGTCAACTTATTACTCAAACACAGGTCAGCTCTACTTACACAGGGAAACTTACTACTGACACAGGTCAGCTCTACTGATAAAGTTTTGTAAGTAAACTCAAAATATATACGAGTATATACCGAGAAACGTACATCTGTTTATTTATATAACCTGTTGCATGCAGTGTGTGGAGACTAGTACCTGCCTATTGCCAGTCAACTGCTACTGGCCAGTAAATAGCTACTTACCTGTAGTGAAAATTAATATACTGAGAGGTGTACATTGCATTAGATGATACATGTGGTGGGCACCTCATTTCAGACTACACCACGTCTCGTTTTTTATTATCAGCATTAGTCTAACAGCTATTTCACAGATCTGAATCTTTCCAGATACACTACACATTAGTTCATTACAAGATTCGGCCGATAAGTTCCCTATCGGACCCGATGACACGCGATTTACTCAGCAACATTCAGAACAATGTACACTTTACACCATTTTGGAAGCGCCCTAATGTTGGTTCTTCTGTGACTTGACATTTTCTAAAAGTCACATCTACACTACGTTATATAAACACTATTATATCATTATTATCTAAATTACAGGAAAACTATCCACAGTATGTTAATGATGTCAGCTATGATCTGTATAGGTTGTACATGGTATAAACCTTGGTAATAAATACCGACAAGTTGGTTTAGAAAGACACGTAAGCAAACACTATAACATATTTATTAGAAAACGTTTCGGTCCTGGGACCTTGATCAAGGTCCCAGGACCGAAACGTTTTCTAATAAATATGTTATAGTGTTTGCTTACGTGTCTTTCTAAACCAGGTTGTACATGTACTTGAAGAAATAAATAGTATTATAAATAATCAAATATTAACATGAGCTTAAAATAATTATTAGCTTACAATACTATGGTCTACTTTGTGTCATTCTATAGTAGAATATTCTATGTGAGTTTAAGATCAACCTATTGATTTCCTTGATAAATAAAAGAGAACAACCCCTATGAAAAGCAGACTTGTATTATTATTATAATCAAGGGGGAAGCGCTAAACCCGGAGGATTATACAGCGCCTGGGGGGGGGGATGTGGAAGGCATTCAGGCTTAATTCGGGAAACTGGAGCACAGATCCAATTCCCTAAATCAAGAGCCCCTCACCAACATCAAGGAACCTTCCTTGAGGAAAGCAGACTTGTAAATGTGACACAATTTTTGTTGTTATAACTCTACGGGAATCATCAACCAAGTTTCACTGAGTGTTACCTTGAGGGTGTTGAGGGGTCAACGCCCCCGCGGCCCGGTCCATGACCAAGCCTTGTGGTGGATCAAGGCCTGATCAACCACACTGTTACTGCTGGCCGCAACGTGTGAACCACAGCCCGACTGATCAGTTACACACACAAGAGTTGTGACCCGACCCCTGCAACCACGAATAGGTGAGTACACACACACACACACATTCATAAATACAGAATTTTCTTGGTGTATCTCAATTATTATAATCATGGGGAAGCGCTAAACTCGTAGGATTATACAATGCCTGTGGTGGGGGATGGAAGGTATTCAGGCTTACTTCAGGAAACTGGACTATAATATAACTATAATCATGGAACTGGAGGAAAGATTCAATTCCCTAGATCAAAAGCCCCTCACCAGCGTCAAGGAACCTCCCTTGAGGGGAGGTGTATCTAAAAGGTTGAATATTTGGACACTAAGATACAGTGTTCCAGAATATGGCTCTGTCTCTGTCCACACGCTTGTATTTTATACAGCCGTCCTCTTGATCGGACATCATTTCACTGTTACAAAAGACAGTCAAGTGGGAGACTGATTAAGGTGCCTTCAAGAGTAGAAATTTGACAGATTTATTGAGACCATGCTCAATGGCTGCCCACTTTCTGTTGTACACAGTGCAGTATGGAATACAATCTAAAAAACAAATATCTAATTACCATTCCTCATCTTATCCTGCTCCCCGGAACATTAATGGCGAGGGAAACATTTATCGGTTAGTTGAACCATCTAAGCAGCCAGTTCATTGTGTTTCCCATGCTCATCTTATTAGCAGTTGCACAAAAAAATCACTCCCTACGAAAGCAAAAGACTCGGCAGACGATGCAACATCCCCCTCATTGAAAAGCAGTGGTGTCACTAGCACGGTAAGAGACAACACAATAAGTGTCAGGGGCCCAAGACTGTTTAACTGCCTCCCAGCATGCATCAGGGGGATTGCCAATAGACCCCTGACTGTCTTCAAGCAGGCACTGGACAGACACCTAAAGTCAGTACCTAACCAGCCGGGCTGTGGTTCGTACGTTGGACTACCTGCAGCCAGTAATAACAGCCAGGTTGATCAGGCCCTGATCCACCAAGAGGAACTCTCTCCAGGTAAATAGAGGTCTTAATCAGACACCACTGAACACTGTTACATCACTAGAAAGAAATATTAGTCATTTCATATATTACAATTACTTCAAGTCTTCCGCCTGAACAGAAGAATGAAAACATAAATAATGAATAACTTCATGGACAATAATTATGATAATTATTTAAGGATTGTAATTGAAAATAAATAAAAAATGGCCGCTGTGGTTTCAGTATGATGTTGGGACAGGAATATCTTATGCCAGGATTTTTAGTTTAGTTTAATATGTTTATTATGCACCCCATACCCATCCTGTGGGCGGTAGTCAAAAGATTACAGAGGTACATAATGGGTCCAGGGACTGGGCCTTATGCCAGGATGGTCTTCTGATGTTTTAGAAGAAATAATGTTGGTCACCTGGGTGGTGGTGTTCGTCCGATGTTCTGGAATTGCTGTCACTACTTGGTTGTAGCACCACAGGTGAGGTGAGGAGTCGTGATGTCTCACTACGTCTTGTAGACAGAGATCTTGTTCCAGTTAACTAGCGTCTACCCTGGTTGACCAGGCCAGCAGCATAGCTGATCAGAAGAGTGCAGGTGAAGTGATTCTCCAGACTTTAACCCGCGCCAGGGAAGGTTAATACTACCAGGAGTAGAAAGCAAATCAGACCCGAGGAACTGAAGTTTAGCCTCAGCCCGCTAGATGGTAGTGCGGGCGGTAACACACTAATGGTTCCTGGGTGTCTGAACCATAACCTCCACTTATTACGGGATTTTCCCTCACACTTTTTCATCACTAGAAAGAAATATTAGTCATTTCCTATTTTACAACTACTTCAAATAATTTAATCAGCTCCATTTTTTCGGCTCTATAGATATTTCTTTAACGGTTTCAGTAGAAAACCGGTTACTGCACTCATGTGAAGGTGTAGGTGTTCTGTTCTACTGGAGCTCAGGCAAAGGAGTCCACCTGACCTAGTAGGGTGATTTTGTTCTTATTTCTATTTGCAAAGGGAACTCTTGTTCCTCTTTCTTTCGTCGCACAGTTTTGGGCGGAAAAAAAACAATTTCCCGAATTGCATACTAGTGGCACTCTCTGTGCCTAACACTGTTTTAGTATATTTAAACTACGTTATTCTTGTACAGCAAAACATGGTGAGATTCATTCTGGACATAAATCCAGGAGAATATATAGGCCGCTAGAAATTGCAACAACTGTAATTGCTGAATGTTGAAGATAAGGTACGACAGATGAACCTCAATGATGTTCATAAAATTGCTCACAGTCAGTGTCCTGAATATCTCGCTGCAAGTTTTGTCAAGATTAGGAATCAATACCAATATGATACATGGGGGAGTGAACACAACTTTGTAGTATCTACAGTAGGTGAGCAGGCCTCAAACAACTTTTATTATGCAATAAAGAAATGGAACGGATTGCCTAAACATGCCAAGGCCAGTCTTAGTATAAACCAATTAGGGAAGAGAGTTACAAAGATCCTAATGAATAAAGCTACAGAAAGGGAGTGTGTTAGTTAAATGTCTTTATTTTGCGCCTCCATACCCATCCTGTGGGTGGTAGTCAAAAGTTTAGAGGTACATAATGGGTCCAGGGACTGTACCTCAACATTACAGAGGTACATAATAGGTCCAGGGACTGTATCTCAACATTACAGAGGTACATAATGGGTCCAGGGACTGTACCTCAACATTGCAGAGGTACATAATGGGTCCAGGGACTGTACCTCAACATTACAGAGGTACATAATGGGTCCAGGGACTGTACCTCAACATTACAGAGGTACATAATGGGTCCAGGGACTGTACCTCAACATTGCAGAGGTACATAATGGGTCCAGGGACTGTACTTCAACATTACAGAGGTACATAATGGGTCCAGGGACTGTACCTCAACATTTCAGAGGTACATAATGGGTCCAGGGACTGTACCTCAACATTACAGAGGTACATAATGGCTCCAGGGACTGTACCTCAACATTACAGAGGTACATAATGGGTCCAGGGACTGTACCTCAACATTGCAGAGGTACATAATGGGTCCAGGGACTGTACCTCAACATTACAGAGGTACATAATGGGTCCAGGGACTGTACCTCAACATTGCAGAGGTACATAATGGGTCCAGGGACTGTACTTCAACATTACAGAGGTACATAATGGGTCCAGGGACTGTACCTCAACATTACAGAGGTACATAATGGGTCCAGGGACTGTACCTCAACATTACAGAGGTACATAATGGGTCCAGGGACTGTACCTCAACATTGCAGAGGTACATAATGGGTCCAGGGACTGTACCTCAACATTACAGAGGTACATAATGGGTCCAGGGACTGTACCTTAAAGTTTTGAGGTGGTCAGTCCCTCAGTCTGGAGAAGAGCATTGTTCCATAGTATGAAACAATATGGAGATGAAGTGACAGGATGGAGCCTTATATAGCGCCAAGAGGTGAGACGTAGGTCACTAGAAGAGGTAAGAACTCAGATGTTGGGAGGTCAGGTCCCTCTCAAATCCAGCCGTTCTCACTAGTAGAGGTTGTCGAAGTTGATTGTAGGTCTATACCAAGATACCCTTGTGTTGCAGTGTCTGACAGATTGAACATTAAAATGGTATAAAATACCGACAAGTGAGAACGGCTGGATTTGAGAGGGACCTGACCTCCCAACTTCTGAGTTCTTACCTCTTCTAGTGACCTACGTCTCACCTCTTGGCGCTATATAAGGCTCCATCCTGTCACTTCATCTCCATATTGTTTCATACTATGGAACAATGCTCTTCTCCAGACTGAGGGACTGACCACCTCAAAACTTTAAGGGTGATGGACTGATTACATCGTCTTCAAGTCTCTTCTGCTTCTATCAACTTTTCTGTACTCGACTGAAGAAGCCTACTGTGTAGGCGAAACGTTTCGAAATAAAGATACCTAACTGTTGCATATGTGTCTTACCTAACAACTTGTCGGTATTTTATACCATTTTAATGTTCAAACAAGGATGGAGGTCGACCGTTCGTCATTGTAGGAGCTGCCAGCAGTCACCGGCTCTTCAACACGCAAGTTATACTTTTGTATCAAATCAAATCACATATTACTCAGGTAGATAATTTCCAGTAGATCCTTCATGTGTTAGCTCAAATCACCGACCAGTATGGTTTAAATAAGTGACCCACTGATCAGATCAGATCGACTGGTCCGAACCCTTGACTGGTCCGAACCCTTGACTGGTTTCAAACGGTTTCGTTGGACAATAAAGCAGACTGTAAACGGATGGGGTTGTAGGCGCCCTTATAAACACAAACATTAAATATATGTCAGGAACGTGCACGGTAAGCTGTCCAATATACAATAACAGTTAGAAACAGAAATACAAATAGCTAGAGCTTCATTTAAGGAGGTTATTAATAGAATATTCAAGAGGTTGCTAGTAGAATTGCAGTAAATCAACCATTCAAATCATTATGAAGCTGTGTGTAGTCTGTGGTCAGTCAAACAAACGGGCTTCCACATGGGTAAATTGTCATTTTTGTGGAAATTGGTGTCACGCCCCTTGTGCAGATATCCAAGAACTAGCTACAAGCAGTGTTAAAACAGGGAAGTGTTTTTGGGTATGCCCAAATGAGATAAATCTGTGGACTAAAATCACAAGGGTATTAAAGAGGTCAACATCAAAGCTGCTTTCATAGAAAACCTGGAAGCTTTCTACAACAGATGGGAACATAAAAAGTCTGGGCTGAATGGTACTGCCCTTGATACTGGCCATGTAGTCAGAAACTGTAAGGCTGGAGGTGATGTCCTGGTAGTCAGTAAATGTGGGGCTGATAGTGCTGTCCTGGGAGACAGTAATGGTGAAGCTGGAGGTGCTGTCCTGGGAGACAGTAATGGTGAAGCTGGAGGTGCTGTTCTGGGAGAAAGAACTGGTGAAGCTGGAGATACTGTCCTGGGAGACAGTAATGGTGAAGCTGGAGATGCTGTCCTGGGAGACAGTAATGGTGAAGCTGGAGGTGCTGTCCTGGGAGACAGTAATGGTGAAGCTGGAGATGCTGTCCTGGGAGACAGTAATGGTGAAGCTGGAGATGCTGTCCTGGGAGACAGTAATGGTGAAGCTGGAGTTTTTGTCCAGGTAGTCGGGAATTATACGCAGGAAGGAACACATATAAATGACCTCATAGGGGACAGGAGCCATAGTAGGGAAACAAGTGTAGTCAAAGATAAGATAAAACCAATATTACAAACTAGAAATACCGCAGGAAATAGCAAACAAGAGGACTCCACTAGCAATAGTGAGGATATATTACCAAAAACAACTGGTGGGAGCTCCATTGTTGGTGCTAGGGAGGATAGAAGTAAGACAGGGAAACATGCACCAACAGGGAATACAGTCACAGAAACCCAAGGCAAACGGAAACCAAGCCTGTGCACATACTATGCACTCGGTATCTGCTGCATGGGAAATCTGGAAAAACAGATGGGACGTGCAACTATGACCACCCTAGAAAATGCCATGCCCATATGACAACAGGAAAATGCAAACTCCCTTCCTGTAAGCTTTTTCACCCTGAACTGTGTACCTCTTCAGTACAGGAAAGACTGTGCTATAACTTAAATTGCCAGGCATACCATCTAAAGGGGACAAAAAGATACAAAACATCCAGGCCATGGGAAAACCTGGGTAGCCACAGCCACTCAAGAGGGAGAGGTTTTTTAGTGCCAGGAAGGAAAAAAAACTGGCAGGAAATGGCAGAAATCGTACACCAAATCCAGTCATTCCTGGAGTGGAACCACAGTCGATGGCCTCCACTCCAAACCAACAGATACAGATACCAACAGATACAGATACAGTACCAACAATACCACCAGTCCGATAACATTCTTCTTTGCAAATACATATACAGGGTCTAAAGCCAGCAACAAACAAAATACCTTTCATCCATGGACTGCTTGCAGAGGCAAAGGCAATGTTCGCGGCTTTCACTGAGACCCACATAAAGGATCACTTGGACAACGAAATATGGATCCCAGGTTACAACCTATACAGATGTGACAGAGTGAACAGGCAAAAGGGTGGGGTTGGCCTGTACATTGCAGAGTCACTTGTTTGCACAGAACTGCTTAATGCCTCAAATGATGTAGTGGAAGTTTTAGCAGTAAAGGTCGAGAACCAAAACCTAGTCATTGTGGTAGTCTACAAGCCTCCGGATGCAACATCCCAGCAATTCCAGGAACAGCTGTTAAAAATTGACCAATGTCTTGAAAATCTTCCAGCTCCTGCACTAAACATCTTGCTCCTGGGGGATTTCAACTTAAGGCACCTAAAATGGAGGAATATAGCAAATAATATTGTTGCAGTAATAACACCAGGAGGCAGCTCTGATGAAAACTCACACTCACGCGAGCTTTTAAATCTCTGCACAAAATTCAATTTAAACCAGCAAATAATAGAGCCTACTAGACTGGAGAATACACTAGACCTCATCTTCACTAACAATGATGATCTGATAAGAAATGTCACCATATCAAAAACAATATACTCAGATCACAACATAATTGAGGTTCAGACATGTATGCGCGGAGCCCCAGACCGACAAAATGAGATTAGTCACGAGGGAGCATTCACCAAATTCAACTTCAATAACAAAAACATAAAGTGGGACCAAGTAAACCAAGTCCTAACCGATATAAGCTGGGAAGATATACTAAAGCAACAAGACCCAACTTATGCCTAGAACAGATTAACTCGGTGGCACTCGATGTATGCACAAGGCTTATTCCTCTAAGAAAAAGGAGGAGTAGATGTAAAATAGAAAGAGACAGGCGCTCCCTTTACAGGCGACGGAAAAGAATAACAGAGCGGCTAAAGAGGTCAATATATCTGAAATGCGTAGGGAGACACTGGTCAGAGAAATAGCAAGCATCGAACTTAAGCTAAAAGAATCCTTTAGGAGTCAGGAATCGCGGGAAGAACTAAAAGCCATAAATGAAATCGAAAGAAACCCAAAGTATTTTCTTCTCCTATGCCAAATCAAAATCGAGAACAATGTCCAGTATTGGGCCCCTACTTAAACAAGATGGGTCCTACACAGATGACAGCAAGGAAATGAGTGAGCTACTCAAGTCCCAATATGACTCAGTTTTTAGCAAGCCGCTAACCAGACTGAGAGTCGAAGATCAAAATGAATTTTTTATGAGAGAGCCACAAAATTTGATTAACACAAGCCTATCCGATGTTATCCTGACGCCAAATGACTTCGAACAGGCGATAAATGACATGCCCATGCACTCTGCCCCAGGACCAGACTCATGGAACTCTGTGTTCATCAAGAACTGCAAGAAGCCCCTATCACGAGCCTTTTCCATCCTATGGACACGGGGGTCGTCCCACAGTTACTAAAAAGAACAGACATAGCCCCACTCCACAAAGGGGGCAGTAAAGCAACAGCAAAGAACTACAGACCAATAGCACTAACATCCCATATCATAAAAACCTTTGAAAGGGTCCTAAGAAGCAAGATCACCACCCATCTAGAAACCCATCAGTTACACAACCCAGGGCAACATGGGTTTAGAACAGGTCGCTCCTGTCTGTCTCAACTATTGGATCACTACGACAAGGTCCTAAATGCACTAGAAGACAAAAAGAATGCAGATGTAATATATACAGACTTTGCAAAAGCCTTCGACAAGTGTGACCATGGCGTAATAGCGCACAAAATGCGTGCTAAAGGAATAACAGGAAAAGTCAGTCGATGGATCTATAATTTCCTCACTAACAGAACACAGAGAGTAGTCGTCAACAGAGTAAAGTCCAAGGTAGCTACGGTGAAAAGCTCTGTTCCACAAGGCACAGTACTCGCTCCCATCTTGTTCCTCATCCTCATATCCAACATAGACAAGGATGTCAGCCACAGCACCGCGTCTTCCTTTGCAGATGACACCCGAATCTGCATGACAGTGTCTTCCATTGCAGACACCGCAAAGCTCCAGGCGGACATCAACCAAATCTTTCAGTGGGCTGCAGAAAACAATATGAAGTTCAACGATGAGAAATTTCAATTACTCAGATATGGTAAACATGAGGAAATTAAATCTTCATCAGAGTACAAAACAAATTCTGGCCACAAAATAGAGCGAAACGCCAACGTCAAAGACCTGGGAGTGATCATGTCGGAGGATCTCACTTTCAAGGACCATAACATTGTATCAATCGCATCTGCTAGAAAAATGACAGGATGGATAATGAGAACCTTCAAAACTAGGGAGGCCAAGCCCATGATGACACTCTTCAGGTCACTTGTTCTATCTAGGCTGGAATATTGCTGCACACTAACAGCACCTTTCAAGGCAGAGAACTTTCACGGCGCGCATAATGGAGATAAAACACCTCAATTACTGGGAGCGCTTGAGGTTCCTAAACCTGTATTCCCTGGAATGCAGGAGGGAGAGATACTACATGATTATATACACCTGGAAAATCCTAGAGGGACTAGTACCGAACTTGCACACGAAAATCACTCACTACGAAAGCAAAAGACTTGGCAGACGATGCACCATCCCCCCAATGAAAAGCAGGGGTGTCACTAGCACGTTAAGAGACCATACAATAAGTGTCAGGGGCCCGAGACTGTTCAACTGCCTCCCAGCACACATAAGGGGGATTACCAACAGACCCCTGGCAGTCTTCAAGCTGGCACTGGACAAGCACCTAAAGTCAGTTCCTGATCAGCCGGGCTGTGGCTCGTATGTTGGTTTGCGTGCAGCCAGCAGCAACAGCCTGGTTGATCAGGCTCTGATCCACCAGGAGGCCTGGTCACAGACCGGGCCGCGGGGGCATTGACCCCCGGAACTCTCTCCAGGTAAACACCCTTTCCGGGGATTGAACCATAGACACTCAGTGTGAGGTGAGTGCGTTGCCAACTGAGGGAAGTGGACACTTCTCCAGGATTATAACTGGCTTGTGGGCAATGCCTTCAAGTGCTGATACCAAATGGTTATAAGTCACACTTGAATAATACCTCAATATTAATTACTAGTCAACCACAACCCAACATAAGGGCTCCCTGTTATTGCACTGTACATAGATACATTGCTGACATGTCTCTGCTTAGAAAATACCTTCAGGGGCTATCAGTTAGCAGTATGTAAGCAATAATACAGAAAAAAACTTCACTGGCTTGAGCTATATGATCCTTGTAGGTTTATCACTTCATTTTTTATTATAATAATTGGCTTGAGACTGAGGGAGATTGACACAGTCAGTCCATATATCATTCTATCATGGGGGAGACGCGTGTGTATGATGCGGCCAACAAAATCATCAGACTCTTGGATGTCTCTACTGCCTGATAGCACTGTACGACCCTAGTGGGTTTAGCTCTTTTTGATTATAATAAATACTACTGCCTGACTCCATTTAGATATTTAGTTATGTCTAGTGCTGGGAGGTAGACATAACTAAATGCCTAATTGTCCAATTGTCTAATGTCCAATTGTCTTCTGAATTATCAGACTAAGTCTGATGACTGCAGCATTTGTTTGATATGGGCCAGAGTGGCCACATCCAGGACCTGTCTTTTTTCATTGTTTCCTAAGCCCAGTGGCAGACCTACATTTTTGGGGACCTGAAGCTTGAACTTGTATATTGGCCCCTTTGCAACCCCTTCTCATACAGTAGACTCAAAATTTTTAAGCTATGTAGACCAAAGCTGCTTGTGGGGCCCCTCCAGGATCAGGGGCCCTGAAGTTTAAGCTTCACTAGTTTAAACTTCAGGACCCCTAATCCAGGAGAGGCAGATTACACCTCATCTCTCCATCACGAAAAGTTTTGTAAAATTACTTTAAATACGTACAGTACTATAAAATTACAGTACAGTAGTACCACAGGCTGTAATACCCGTATTCTTAGCATCTGATTGTTTTCTACATCAGCAGGCCTAGTCCGTTAGATCAGAAGATAAATGGACGATCATGAAAAATTAACTGCATAATTCAGAAGTTTTGGATAATTGGCAGTATCCTGCACCCCCCTTACCCCTTATCAGTCCATTAATAAGAGGGTTCACTGTACTGTAAATGGAATTTAAAAAGAGCATAATTGATGGACTGCAGGGATGCACCTTTTCACTTACCAAATATTAATGACTGAAAAATAACCTATACAGTGTATTGGACACTACAGTTTATAAACAAAGTAGAGCCACTGGTAGGTATTCAGTGTCAGAAATCAACAGTTCAAGTTTTTTTTTTTTTTTACATAAGACCTTGAGGACTGCAACTGTGTCACTCAGGACTGCATATTTCCTGTGGACTACAGGTTGTGCACCCTGATACACTGTATAACAGGCACTGTACACTATATACTGTTTCTTCATAATTTATCACCACTGTACAGTATGTCTGTAATAATCATGTACTTATTGTAATTATTATATAAATTAAAAAATTAGTGCAAAAACACCTGTACCATACATTAACTGAAATTAAGCTTATCTAAGAAAATTTATCTACAGGAGAAGCTTGCGATGAAGCTTCACTTTTTGGGCACTGGCTCTAGCTACCCTACAACTCAGCGGGGTGTGTCAGCTACAGTGCTACAGCATGATGGTCAGTCAAATCTCCTCAGTCTTTAATATTTATTTAAGAAACTGGAAATTTATTAACCTCTTCTTACTAGTGATGCTAATTTCACAGCAAAACTTAACCCTTTGAGGGTCGACAGGCCCTCTCCGAAACTCGTTCTCAGGGTCGGCCAAATTTAAAAAAAAAAAAAAAATATTTTCTCTTGTGAAAAGATAGAGAATCTTTTCCCGATCATAAAGACACCAAAAGTTTGAAATTTGATAGAAAACTTACGGAATTATGCTCTCGCAAAGTTAGCGGTCTCGGCGATGTTTACGCATCGGCGATTTTGCCCCCTTTGAGCCCCATTTTCGGCCAATTTCACTGTACTAGTCGACAAAAAACATGAATATTTCGCTAGAACTCCATTTTTTCTATCGAATGGGTGCAAGAAACCACCCATTTATAAATTCAACTATCCAGTACAGTGGTCAGAATTTAGCAATTTTGCCAATTTCACACAAATTTCAAAAGATGCCAATTTCCAAATAGGGTCCAGAATAAACAAGAAAGACATTCCTGGCACTAAAATGACATTTCCTCTAGTCATTAGTCACGTCTCAAGGCCCCTCTTATATTCTTTTGCTTTCCACTTTGAATTTTTATTCTCACAAAAAATATAAGATTTACTGTTATGCAGACTACTGCATTAGTGTAAAAAATGGTATAAATATTATTGGTGCACTTGTAAAAGAATATTAGACTCACCAGTTGACGTGTATTGCACGCTTGGCACGATTTGTTTACTTTTGGAGTTTGGTAAAAATCGAACATTTCTGCTACTTTGAGCTCAATTTCAAGGCACCTTTCATTGTAAAACCAGTCAAAATCATCTCAATTTCTGTAATATGTCTTCCATTCTATAAAATGAGACCAAGAAAACTAGAATACAACAATAAATACCATACGAAAATACACTGCAAAGTCGCCGATTTATTAAAAAAAAATGGTCAAAGTTTTTTTTTTCTCATTATGCACTGTGTGCTGCAGGATTTTTTTTAGACTGTGCACACTGACCACATAGACCCATTCTTTCATATGAAGGCCTACCAGCTTTCTCCCACTATATTTGAGGCCGCTAGAATTTATGAGTACTAGTACGTCAAAAAACCCTACGCGTAAAACGTACTAGTACAACCAAAACCCTCAAAGGGTTAATAAATATTCACATAAAATCTTTCTTGAGATAAGATAAGATTTTGTTTGGATTTTTAACCCCAGAGGGTTAGCCACCCAGGATAACCCAAGAGAGGCAGTGCGTCATCGAGGGACTGTCTGCCTTATTTCCAATGACATTCTCAGTCTTGTCCCCCAGGATGCGACCCACACCAGTTGGCTAGCACCCAGATGCCTACTTGCTGTAAATCAATGAAATTTTGAACTATTGTGATATAGTATAATCTATTGTAATGTATATTACACAGTATCAGATTAAAACATTTACACAAAGTATGCCATGGCTTAGAGCTCCTGGACAAGAAGGGCTCAAGTTACATAACCCACTTATTGTATAGTGACAAGGTGAAATAAAACTTTGAAATAGCAGGTGAAAAGGCCATATTAGACCCAAAACCAAGCCTTGAGTTTGTAGGTAGACCTCAGCTCTTAAGTGAGCCATGCATGACTGTAAAAATAAAGTAGGAAGGCCTAAATATTGTATTGATCAGCTTAAGGCTGGGGTGGTCAAGGAAACTAAAATAATATGGTAATGTTGGAATGATGAAAGTATTCACTAGTTGACCACATACATATGAAGTCAGCAGTACAATTATAAAAAGAATTGATAGAAGATTCAAAACATTAGCTTCATTGCTAATATTGCTGCTGCTACTAACAATAATAATGGGACTTCATGAGCTGTTGGAGTGTGAACAGGGTAATATTTTGTGAAGGGGTTCAGGAAAACTGGTTAGCCAGACTTGAGTCCTGGAGATAGGAATTACAATGCCTGCACTTTAAAGGAGGGGTTTTCGATATTGGCTATTTGGAGTGACATCTGAACTGTCGTATCTAGGCACCTATGTAAAGACAGTGATGATGTGTGAATGATGACGAAAATGTTTCTTTCTCTTTTTATTAATAATAATAATAATAATAATTCATGGTAAGTGCTAAATCAATGTGGGTCATTCAGCACAGGACATGGTAGAGGCTTCATCTTCCATCTGCTGAGCACGAGACAGATGCAGTTTCTGTTGTATGTACTCACATCTCTTCTCAGTGCTGATATACAATATAAGAATTCTGAATCACTGATTCATTAATTGGTAATACAGTGGATCCTCATTTTTGTGATTAATCCGTTCCAGAGAGTCTGCTGAAAGTCGAAATTCATGAAATGGTGAAACCATTTTCCCCATAAGAAATAATGAGAATACAATTAATCCGTTCCAGACACCCAAAAATATTAAAAAAAAAAAAATTTTCCAAATTAAATAAAAATTTACATACAGAAAACAATGAGAAATCAAGTACATACATATATAAAATAATAATAATAATATGGTGGATGGAAGATGCGGGGAGGGGAGAGGATGAAGATACACTATTCCATAAAGACTTCAGGTACCAAGTCCTTTTCTGGGGTTACTTCCCGTCTTTGTGTTTTAAAGGCACTTGGACCAGCTTGAGAATCACCGGACCCCTGTCACACAAAATATCTGTCCAGAGAACTCTGTTTCTGGCGTTTCTTTAAAACATCCCTAAAATGGGACACAGCATTATCATTTTGCATGTTGCCAATACGGCCTGCAACATCTTTGTCAGGGTGAAGTTCATCCATAAATATTTGCACCTTTGTCCACATTTGCCAGATGTCCTTAATCTTTGAAGAAGGCACCTTCCTCCATCTCTCTTCCTCCTCTGGAGCAATTTCCTGAGCTGTGGTCTGTTGCTATTCAAATTCAAATTCAAATTCAAAAGTTTATTCTCTATAAGGATTACAGTGCTGAGTTTACAGAATTTGGTTATTGTGTGGTTTACATGTAGTAAAATAATAATTACAGAGTGTACCACTAGAACACCTAGCATGGCTAGGCATTTCGGGCAGACTTAGATTAAATCTTAAGTTTAAAATATTACAAAATTATGAGGTAAGTTGGTATTATGGCTAAGTGACTAAATACTAGTTTGTGAGTTTAGCAATGTGAATGCTATCGTTTTGGCACAATACATAGTTTCAGTATTGGAGTATCACAGGCCAACTTATGACTAGTTAAGATTCATTATTTTAAGATTGAGATTGATATTTCTGTTTATGGTCAAATGGGTGAGTGAGTGTAAGTGTGAACCACCAGGTGGTATTCGTGTGGTTAGTTGACAGGGTGTATCAGGGAGATAAGATGTTTCTGATGGTAGTTTTGAAGGTGATGAATGTGTGTGCAGTTCTAGAGTTTTCAGGTAGGGTGTTCCAGATTTTAGGGCCTTTGACATACATTGAATTTTTGTAAAGGTTTAGTCGGACACAGGGAATGTCATAGAGATGTTTGTGTCTGGTGTTGTGCCTGTGGGTTCTGTCACAACTATCAAGAAAGCATTTTAGGTCAAGGTTAATATTGGAATTTAAGGTCCTGTAGATGTAGATTGCACAGTAGTAAGTGTGGATGTACTGAACAGGGAGTAAGTTTAGATCTGTGAAGAGTGGGGGGGTGTGTTGCCAGGGATGGGATTTAGTGATTATTCTTACTGTAGCTTTTTGTTGGGTTATTATTGGCTTTAGGTGTGTTGCTGCAGTTGAACCCCAAGCACAGATAGCATAGGTGAGGTATGGATATATAAGTGAACGGTATGGTGTGAGAAGGGCAGTTTGCGGCACGTAGTATCGTATCTTGGAGAGAATCCCAACCGTTTTGGATACTTTTTTGGTTATGTGTTGGATATGGGTGCTGAAATTCAGGTTGTTGTCGAGGTATAGGCCTAGGAATTTGCCCTCATTATGTCTGGCAATTAGAGTGTTGTCGATCGTAATGTTAATTTGCGCATCTCCTGCTCTGCTACCAAACATAATGTAGTAGGTTTTGCCAATGTTAAGCGTAAGTTTATTGGCTGTCATCCAAGTCGATATTTTGATCAGCTCCTCGTTAACAATGGTGTTGAGGGTGGCAAGATTAGGGTGAGAGATGACATAAGTCGTGTCGTCAGCAAAGAGAATGGGGTTCAGGTGTTGAGATACATTTGGAAGATCATTGATGTATATGAGGAAGAGCAGGGGACCAAGGACACTTCCCTGTGGAACTCCAGTATCAAGTGGCCGTGTTGTTGATGCTGTGTCCTTAATGGTGACATACTGATACCTATTAGTAAGGTAAGATTTGAAATATGCAAGCGCATGGCCTCTTATACCATAATGGTCAAGTTTGTGGAGTAGGATGCCATGGTCTACTGTGTCAAAAGCTTTTCTTAGGTCAATAAAAATTCCTAGTGGATATTCCTTATTTTCCAATGCCGTGTAAAGCAGATCTAGCATTTTTATGATTGCATCGTTAGTGCTTTTATTTTTCCTGAATCCAAATTGGCAGGGGTTGAGTATGTTTTGTGCTGTTATAAATGAATATAGTCTCCTGTGCACGAGTTTCTCAAAGATTTTGGATAGCAGTGGTAAGTTTGATATTGGCCTATAGTTGTTTAAATCTGTAGGGTCACCACCTTTATGTATTGGTGTAACCCTTGCCGTCTTGCGTAGTTTCGGGAAGGTGCTAGTTTCTAGTGACTTGTTAAAAAGTAATGAGATAGCATACGAGAGGACATGGGCCGCTCGCTTGTACAATAATGGTGGGACATGAGACAGATTCCCTGAGTTATTTTTAAGTGACTTTATAATCTCGGTGACTTCCGTGGGCTCAGTTGGTGCAAGATAGAAGGAATTTGGGAAATTCCCATCTAGGTAGTCCCCGGCATGGGCATTGGTACGTGGGATTTTATTGGCGAGATTAGATCCTATGGTTGAGAAGAAGTCGTTTATCTTGTTAGCTGTGTCAGTGGGATGC